TTTTGAACACTATATGTAGGACAAATTCCAATTTTTGGTTTTATATTATGAAATATCACCTTTATCTTATCTTCTAGACAATGACAAATCTTTCACGATTTTCGAAATGATAAACCTATCATAACTTTTGAAGTGATAAACCTAACACAATTTACGGGAAGGTCTCACCACTATTTTTGAAGAAATTAGTTGATATACTTTAAATTCAATAGGGGTTAATTCTCCTTGTATCAAAGTGATAGAGAGCTGAAGTTTCATTTGAACAAATGAAAGAATAATTCTTATTTCTTGTTTACCTTTACAGTTTTTCTATATTGTTCTATTACTTTATAATTTGGTATACTACCACTACAAACTACTATCAACTTAATATAGATTGGCATTAGATTAACATTAGTTTCATAACATGCTATTAGCTTGAATCTCTACTTTTGAACAAAAGTGAAACACAAGTCTCTATCTCGAGCAAAGGTCAAGCATGAATCTCTACTTCGAGTGATGGTTGAACACATGTTTCAATTCTTAAACGCTCCTTGAGTACAAAAATACTTTTCGATATCTTTGAGATAATATTTCTTCTTTCAATTATGGTCACTTATCTTATCAAAAGAATTATTTATTATGAATACTAGATGTTAAAATACATCCTGATGCAATAAATTTTGGAGACAATATTGTAGAAAATCAATTATACTTAAGGATCCACTTGTTCTTTGAAATAATTAGAAGAAAAAGATTTGACCGTGTAAAGATAATTGTTCTTTCAAAAGTCTATATGATTAATTTACCTATAGTTGTAAGAACATAATTCTATAATATTCAGAATTCTCAGTTATGTAGATAAAATATTATTCAAAAGATATGTTGAAAATATATTTTCGACACTTGATTCTTCGATAATGCTCCTGTAGCAGCAATATTGAGAGAAAAATTTGAGAACTATTTTGTGCTTATTGTAAATGAATACAACAATGAAACCCAACAAATGAATTCTAGTCTATTCCCAAAAGTGAATACGACTCAAATTCAACTTGTTAGTTATGATTGTGGCCATGACTATGATTTTAGTAAATATACATCTCATCATAGAAAGATAAAAAAAAATTACTTGAAATAGGATAATAATGATAAGGACAAGAAAATAAGGATTCTGAAGACAAATGCTTTGAAGTACATTTGACCAATCAAAATTATAATAGCATCTTGATATGGCCAACTTTTTAAAATACTTTGAAGGTATATGATGATCGATTTGATTTATGATAGTAATAATTGAGTCTTCTTCCTAAAGAAGAAACGGATACTAAACATTTGGTATCAAAAGATTATGGCAATGATATTTGTCTCATAAGAATTATGGTGACACTGATACGTGCGTCAAAATTCTCAATAAATCCATTTAACTTGGGTTTAAATAGTGGATTTGCCCAAATAGTCCATTGTGAATTAATAAATCAATTAATCCACTTCAATTTAAATGGACATCACAAATTTAATTTGATTTAATAACCCATATAATATTGACCCAATTTACCAGTCCAAAACATAATGAAGTTCTATTATTTAACTTAATTTATTTAGTCTTGATTAAATAAATTTTTTCGTCTATAAATGCCCCACTTCAAGACTTGGCAAGGCATTGCTTGACAACTGCCAAAGACAAGGCTTGAAGTATTAACCTTGATTTGCGAGACTTTTCACTAATGAAATCCATTAGAATCACAATTTTGTAGAATACTTGGTCCATTAAAAAACCCAAACTTTGCATTCTAGCTTCACACCGCCATTTTTTTTTTTTTTCCGAAACGATATTTGATTATATTACTTCCAAAACATGTATAAGTGCGAGCAAAGGCTCGAGATAACTTTACAATCAGTGTGTTTAACACTGAGGAAACAAAAGTTCCTCATCGATTGTGATGCCTAAGGCATATAGACTAATCCTAGAACTTAGATGATTGTTACCACTATTAACTAGACAAAAGGAGCACATAATACCAAGTTGATTTGTGCACAGAATCATAATTCCTGTGGCTTCAACTCTGTAAGAAATCATGAGACCACTTACCTTTTGACTTGCGGTTGGCTTCAAAACAGCCAAATGAGCCAATACATATTCGGAGAAGATTATTAGTTGCCTTAGTTGTCAAATACCAATGCTTCCAAAACAAATACCATACGCGACACGTAACTAGGCTGCAGGCAAAAACTTAGCTCAAGACATTAACAAATTGGCAAATTCACCTCACAAGCTTAAGCTACAAATAAAGCCTACCGTGACTTATTAAAGTTCACATGGAATATTTTCCTCCAAACAAAACTGGCAACTACCAATCGTCATGCTGATGGGTGTAATAAACGATAATTGTTGATACCCCAAACAATATTTGATCCCAAAAGGGTCAAAACTCGGGTTCAATGAACTAAATTGTGCGGCTTTCAAACGCCATATACTAAGCCTTTCGAACACTAAATAAAAAGTCCAAAACTTTCCCAATTAAAAGTTGTGGTGTGTTGTGGACTTTTTCTCACTTCAGCCCACCTCTAAATGATCCTGTGTGGCCCAATAAGTTTTAGGAACCAAGGTGAGGAATATTAGTGGTTTTGTGATAATCATTCCAAGTCATGTACTTTCATAGTTAGGAGTTTATTCTCGTTGCCCATATGTTGATTGTAGCACTTCAAAGTTGACTATAAGTAGGGATAATTTCATAAACCTCCTCTAAGGTTTTCAATAGTTTCACTGAGCTCTCTTGGACTTTTAAAATTTGTATTTATCTCCCTTGATTTGACACATTTGGCAATCAAACCTTAGACATGGTCAAAAATTTAAACGAACATCCTAAAATGTCCTTGGTTTATATCGTTTATATTGCTTTCCAAAACAATTGTAAAATGTATAGCATCAAATATAAAGAAAAAGCATCAAATTTTCAATACCTGTATTTTTTATTTAATAAACAATTATTGCAATGGTTTTATCACTATGACAGGCTACTGTACATAGTGCTTTACTGGGGATACATATTCCCTGAAGGTTGGAGAAGAAAGTATTATCATAATTGTTTTAGAGTTTGTAGATTTTTGAAATGTTAGAGGTATCAATAATTTAGTAGTAGTTTTGGATAGTTTCTTTTTAAAACACTGTTATTTTTGGTGCAAAGAAAAAAAAAAGATCAACAAAAAATTAGACCAGATTCAAAGTTGTCAAAAAAAGGTCACTAATTCAACATTTGGTAATGATAATGACTAGAAGCAATATTTATAGCTTATAGTTCTGTAGTTTTACTTGTAAAATATGAAAAAAAGAGGAACAAGAAGAGAAAAGAAAAAGAAAAAATAATTATAAATATCATTCTTTCTATATGCATACCCAACAATGGAGTTTTATTAAAATGGTAAGACTAATATTATCATTTTAAATGGGCAAGGAAGGTAAGTGTAATTTTTAAAATCTCAAGGAATCTCACTGAAATTGTTAGAAACCTCAGGGAAGGTTTTTGAAATTATTCCTTAAATTTAATCAAAAGAGAATATGAAAATATTCATGGGACATATATCAATCGGCCAAGAAGAAATAGATGGATTGGGTGGTTTAGAGAAAAAGTATAAATAAGAAATTTTGAATTCGAATTCTCTCCCACTGTATCATTTGAGTCTCCAAAAACCTGAGTAGAGTTGCTCGCATATAAAAAATGGAGCAAGTAAGAATCACAAGGCTAGAGATCGGTTACACATTGTGAATGATATCTTCACCCATCTAAAACATTGCTCCTTAATTGAAGGCCGAAACTTGAATTAAAGAACAAGAAAAGGGATCGTCCGCGAGCCATGCTTGACCAGAACACTATCCGGTCTTCACCAATCTATCGAATTCTCCACGTGGATCCAAAACACTTTTTTGATGTGATATATATGAAATAAAAATATGATTGAAAAATGTATTTATGAAATAAGTAGATAATTTTGTACAAATAATTAGCGTGCATTTAAGTCCTGACTCTTGAAAAGAAGTACTACTACTAATTAGTAGCAATTTTCACTTCTTTAATCCAATCATTTTCTTTGACCATTGTATATTGGTAACATTAATTTTGCAAGTTATCGTTTTACTGTTTATATTTATCATCTTAGAGTTTACATTTATTATTGTAATTCCCTCAATTTAGGGTTGAAGAAGCCCTCAATTTTTTTTCTCATACTTTTTACTTTGTTGGTCATGGTTATTAATCTCCAAGATCAATGGTCATGATTATTAATACAAGAGAATTAGAAGAGAAAGTGATCAAATTTAGTGGTTTGCTCAAGAAAGAAAACAATTGAAGAAAATTAGAGAGCTAGCTTGAAGGCTCATTATATTTTGATCATTTATATTTTGATGTCTCTTGGATCATTTATATTTTGATGTTTCTTTATTTTCTCTTCTTCCTAATTATAAAGTTTAACATATTAAACTGTGGATGCTTGAAGCAAAAACAAAAATATTAAACTGATTGCCTCGTGACAAGATGGTGGAATTATTGCAAAAACAGGGACGCTCAATAAAAACCGAGACCCCATCTTGTGGGAATGGAACACAATAATTCCCAATAATTCTATGAAACCGGACCCGCTACTTGTGAAAGGTCCACAAGCACTTGAATGTGTCTGCAAGTGGTTTTTCCTTTTTTGCTTTATTGAGCCAATATAAAGCTGATCCGTCTGGACCACTCTTGCTTTGGACAATAAAATCATCAAAGTGCCTTAAATCACCCTAACCACTGCTGTTATTGTCTTAAAACATAGACCTTTATGTTACCCCTAATATCAAATTTCCCTAATAAAATGTTGATGACAGAGTCAACTAATCTTGTTTATCAATTTCCTCCATTTGTAATTAGTTCAAGATAAATTTGGATTTTGGGTGCCTAGCTCCAATCCCAGCTAGTTGAATAATTGATTATCATTGCCTGGGGTCCACCTTCATGCCAATTCCACCTAGTTGAATAGTTGATTATCTCAATACTCTTCTTCACCTTCTCACCAGAAACAAAGAAATACTTTGCTAGCTCTGCAGTTAGTGAGATTTGTTTCTCTCTTAGAATTTGAGACTGAAACTGACGAAAATCCCTCCATAAGAGATGGAGATGGCCTCCACTTGCAGCATCGATCGTGTCTTGCTTGTTCTAGAGTTGCTTCTGAACAGCTTACGAAACCGGTACGTTCCTTTCGATGTTACTTTCGATGCAATCAAACACATGAAATTTCTCAAAACATTTGTTATGTGTGCAAGAAAGTGGAGCCTTGTTCATTTGTACTTGCAATCTGACAATGTTGTGAAGAAGGTGAGTCTTCCATCTTTCTTATCTTGTATCGAAGATACCTTTCACAAATATGAGGAGGATATTCACTCTCTTTCCCTTAGATCAGAAATTGAGAACTATACTATTGGTAGTTATAATAGCATGTTCAGGGAACTTGAGAAACAGATCAAATCACTGAAGCAAGAAATCATCCAAATTTACTTTGCTTTGGCAAGCAGCAGGTCATTTCAATCAAATTCTTGTATGACAGATGATGAACTGTTGGAATTCATAGACCTCATCCTACAAAATCTAGCAGATTTGAAGCCCTTGAAGTTGGATTGGGCACTTGGTGAATCGTCTATTTCTGCTACTTTGAGTGCTCAAGTCCAAGCCCTTGAAGCAAAGCTGACATTCTTGAAAAGCTTCATTCCCTTTGCCAAAATGCGAGGAACTGCAGATATTCCTGCCTTGCTATTGGCGCACTTTGAAGTGGTGGCTTTGAACGCAGCAGGCCTCTCTTGCATGTGTTCTTATTGCGATGATGCTGAGGAAATGCAGATATATGAACAACAACAGAAGATCAGAGCTGTTGATTTTCATGTCTACGAGACTTATATGGAAGTATTTAGAGCTTCATACTGCTCAGCATCGTTACATACACCAAGGATGCAGGATAAGCAGATACTGAGCAACTTCAATGATTCTCTTATAAGTTGTCTCTGGGAGCTGTTATGCTACAGTTCAAGTTTTATGGATTCTATGAATGATGAAATGCACATACTCTATGCACGACTGAGATTCTTGAGAAGGATTTTAAGGGAGCATCATGAGATGATGGATGAACAAAATGAAAAAATTGGAGCTCTCCTTAGTGAGGTAGGGATTATACTATTCTCGCCCACTCTGAGCAGAGTGATAGAAGGAGAAGTTAGCTTCTCAGAATCCACCCAGGTTCTTGATTTTTGTGATATGCTGGCCAATACCAACATCCATATCAAGCATTTTAAGGATCAGATCAGTGGCCCAAGTACTATAGAGAGTCTTCCTGATTCCTCTCATAGCTTAAGAGCACCAGAAGTTAGCCAGACTTCCAGCCGCATGCTATCAAAATGTAAAATGCCAATAGCCCATGAAGTCATGGTTGGTCTTGATGATGAGGCAGCAAAAGTAATTGAACGACTTATGTGGGGACCAGAACAGGTGGAAATTGTTCCCATTGTGGGAATGGCTGGGCTTGGTAAGACGACTTTAGCCAAAAAAGTTTACAATGATAGTTCAGTAATCTGTAACTTCCACATTCGTCTTTGGTGCACTGTTTCTCAAGAATTTAACATGAAAAGCTTGTTAATACAAATTTTGTGTTCCGATGGAAAACGGTCAAGGATGGACAAAGAGCTTAAAAACTTGAATGAACATGAATTGCTTCACAAGCTCTATCAAAGGCTGAAGACGAAGAGGTATCTAGTTGTTTTTGATGATGTCTGGGACATTAAGGTATGGAATGAGCTGGGAATTGCATTCCCGAATGACAAGAATGGAAGTAGAATCATCTTCACGAGTCGATCTTCTAATGTAGCTTCACAGGTTCAATATGGTGGAGAACCTCACTATCTTCGCCCACTCAGTGAGAAAGAAAGTTTTGAATTACTTCAGAAGAAGGTATTTGGAAAAGAAGATTGTCCTCAAGCATTGCATGGATTGGGAATGGAGATTGCCAAAAAGTGCAGGGGATTGCCACTTGCACTTGTTGTTGTAGCTGGAGTCCTAGCAACTATAGAGCGTGATATTTGTGTTTGGGAAGAATTTGCTGAAAGTTTAACTTCGACCATGGTGTCTGGTACAGACCAGTGCAAGAAGTCATTGGAGCTCAGTTATGAGCATTTACCATATCACTTGAAGGCATGCTTGCTGTATTTTGCTGCATTTCGAGAAGATGAAAAAATTGGTGCCAAGAATTTGATGCGTCTATGGATTGCAGAAGGCTTTGTGGAAAAAGTTGAAGGAAAGAGGTCAGAGGACACTGCAGAAGAATATCTGATGGACCTAATTGGTCGAAATTTAGTTATGGCAAGTGAAAGCAGGTCCATTGGTGGAGTCAAAACTTGTTACATTCACGATTTGATATTTGAGTTCTGTAAGACAGAGGCAAAGGCAAAGAATTTTCTTCAGGTCCTGCGAGGATATGATGAGCTTTCTACCTTTAATGTACCTCCCTACCTACATCGATTGTCCATTTGCTCCAGTGGAGAAGATTTTATAAAGTCAAAGCTATTTTGTCCACATTTAGGTACTCTGCTATTCTTTGATGCTACTCCAGGAGATGAGTTTGAGTTGCGTAACATCTCATTCCTTTTTTGCATCTACAAACATCTTGAAGTTTTGAATTTAGAGGACATTAACCTGAGGCTGAAGGAGCTTCCAACTGAAGTCGAATCACTTCTTTGTTTGAGGTACTTAGCCCTTAAAGGTCGGACCATGGAATTCATTCCACCATCTATAGCCAAGCTCTCACATTTGGAAACCTTCATTCTAAATTCTTGCATGACGGTTTCATTGCCAGATAGCATCTGGAACATGAAGAATTTGAGGCATGTCTATGTAAGGGGTGACGTTGCTATTGGTCTTTCTTCCAATGACAATAATGTTGTTGAAAACCTCTCCAATTTAGACACACTCTCTACTCTGTGTATTTATTTTGATCAAGGGGGAGAGAACATATTGAGAAGGATTCCCAACGTTCGCCGACTTAAAATTTTCTGTTTGGCACTAAATGCACTAAATAGAGCATGCCGCAACATGAGTCAGCTAGAATGCCTAGAATCACTCACCTTGGGGAGCTTCAACTTCTCAGGTTCACGAGAACATGTCGAGCTTTCTTTTCCCATGAATTTGAAAAAGTTGTGTCTTTCCTTCCTGGGCCTTCCCTGTAGGAAAATGTCATTGATTGAACAACTACCCAATCTTGAAGTCCTCAAATTAAGAGTTCAGTCAATGGAGGGCCAAAAATGGGAGCTGATGGAAGGAGGATTCCCTAAACTCAGGGTCTTGACTTTGTCTGAATTAGACTTTGTGGAGTGGACAGAGACAGACCCTCACAGTGATGATTACTTCCCGTGCCTTCAGCAATTAAAACTCCTCAAAAATTCTAATTTGGAAATGGTGCCTGCTTGTTTAGGGCGTATATCTACTCTTGCAACAATTAAGGTCAGATTTTGCAGAGATGGTGTTGACTCTTTAGTACGGAAAATTGAAGAAGCACAGAAAAATTATGGAAATGAGAATCTGAAGGTCATCATCATAGGTTGAAGGGCATCAAGCTGGTTGCAATATCTGGTAATTTTTTTTTGTCGTTACCATTAATTGGCTTGTAGAAATAAACATGCTTTTTTCATTTAAGGGAGTTTAATTTATATGTACCTTTCGGTGGCTTTTTTGTACTTCAGTTGCCTATACTGCATGCACGAGCACATTGAAATTGATGAACAAACAAATAATTCTTGCTTTTTTTTTTTCTCTTTTAATGATATTGATGAGCAAACAACTAATCATTGCTCTATTTTTTCTTAATGATATCATCAGGGAGTTTTTCCACTTGAGATTGTAGTTGGTCATCTATGCGGTCTGGCTTTCTTTGGTGTTTTGGTGGAAGATGGAGGTAAAAGTTGAAAAAATTGGAAACAATGAATGAGGTTCGTACACTGTGCAGCACAAAGGTTATTCGGATATTTTGCTGTTGGTATATTTTGTGTAATTTCGTTTTGGTGAATTTAGTGATGGTTGTGTGGTATTTCTTTTCAAACATGTGTCTATTTGCTGAATTGGGACTTGGAAAATAGGGACAATGTACGAAGGTATCACCGCAAAATGATTGGTTTTTTGCCATCAAGAAACTCGGTTTGCCCTCAGGGCGTATGACGCAGCGGTTGAGGGGTCGGCCTTGTGTTGCTGGCTTCTCCATTGACCAGGGTTCGATTTGTGCCCGGTGCATCGCACATCCTGACTCGTCCGGATAAACTGTATGGGGCTGTCGGCTTCCCTCTGGTTTGGTGTGCCGGCTTGGGTCCAAAGGGATCGGGTCGGGCATGTTTCGGGTTACCAAAAAAAAAAAAAACTGGGTTATCTTTTTTCTTTTCCTTTTTTTTTTTCTATCTGAGGTTGAAAATCCATCATTTTGACAGAATTGATTAACAATTTATGTCTGAGCTCATGATTCTTGGGAAAATAACACAGCGCAATTTGGAAATTAACAGCAGACTTTTGATCTACAAATTCATGTCAAAAGGAAACCTCAATGATCTTCTCTTTTCTGCTCAATCCTAATTTTGAGGTTTGTGGTAAAAATTGCAATTGGATTGCAAAAGGCATTACGTGGCTTCATCAGGATAGAGTAGTACTTCATCGTAGAATTGGTTGACCAGAAATTGGCCTATTAGATCGCTTGAAGACTTTTAATGTTTCCAACAATCTTTTATCTGGCCCAGTCCCTAATTTTATTAGCGCAACTATACTTTCTGAAAGCTGTGCAAATAATTTGGGACTTTGTGGTGATCCTTTAGAGCCTTGTAAGTCTAATTCAGAAACAAAGAAACATGACAAAATCCTCTTCACAAGTGGTTTTGTGGTTGGATGGGTGCTTTCTACCATCTTGGCTCTAGTTCTTAACTTGTTTATTGTGCCCATCCTGAGTGCAAGAAAACTAAAGAGCAAGAATGAGAAAAAACAAGAGACTGCAGCTTCTCAAGGACCACGACTTTTAACTTCGAATTGGAGAATCCAAGACTCTAAGGTAACTTCATTCCCTATAACCAAATTGAGTACATAAGCTTGTGGAAAGATCCGTACTATTTCCAATTCTATCGCACTCCCTGTTCCAAGAAATAAAATATTCTTTGATCAAGAAAGAAGATTCCCTTTTTTTTTGTGGGTAAAACTTAAAAGGTTTGATCAATTAATTCATTCAAGTTTTAGTATAAACTTGCTAGCACACAGTTTTGTTTTACTATAGACAGACAATGAACTTTAAGTTACACGGGCGTATATATGAATTAAATTGAACATCCTATAACTAGTTTTGTTTTCTTTTTTTGGTTATGATTAAGCAGCTAACTGTTTTCTTTCTTTTACCACTTCATGAGTGCTCTCCATTTTTCAGATCATATTTACAACCAAAATTTTTTTGGCATAAGTGAAGCTCCTTAAGGAGTATATATTTTGCAGTAATGCTTTTGCTCTAATGATAGATTATGGCACTGGAAAAACATGTAACAAGAATGAGTTTCGAAGAACTCAGCAAGGCAACTGATGATTTCCACTGTATGAATATAATTGGAACGGGGAAATTGGGGACAATGTACAAGGCAATACTCCAAAATGGTTGGTTTCTTGCCGTCAAGAAACTCCATAACTCATATGATTTCGATCAAGAATTTATGTCTGAGCTCATGACTATTGGGAGGATGAGACATTGCAATTTCGTACCACTCATAGGCTTCTGCTATGAAATTAACAGCAGACTTTTAGCCTATAAATACATGTCGAATGGAAACCTCCATGATCTCCTCTTTTCTGCTCAAAACGGCAAGGTCAAGTGCATAGAATGGCCTATGAGTGTGAAAATAGCAGTTGGGATTGCTAGAGGACTTGCGTGGCTTCATCAGGTTGGAGTAGTCCATAGCAGCATTTGTTCAAGATGCATATTGCTTGATCATAGTTGTTTTGGAAGTGCAAAACTTATGCCAAAAAATTGGACTACAAGGAGGAAGAGAAATTCTGGAGTTAACTACAGAAATTCTGGAGATGGAGTGGTAGACCAACAAGGAGACTTCAAACGTTGGTGGACTCAAATCTCAGAGGCAAGGAAGAGGCCAAGGGGGATGGAGCATATTGGACTAACTGCGACCATCTTATGGCAAGTGTGGAAAGAAAGGAATAAGAAGGAATTTGAAAACATAAGCAGCTGCTCACCAGCTAGGACAATTGGGAAAGCTCAAAAGGAATGGCTGGAGCAAGTGGAAATCATAAACATTAAACCCAGTCTGAGCACAGGAGAAACAACTTCCAACCAAGAAGAGCATCATCAGGATCATGTAGAAGAGGGTACCATTAATCTGGACGTGGCTACAATAAGTCATTATGGCCAGGTCTCACTGGGGGATTGAAGTTACAGCTAGGATGCACCCAAACATCAGGATTGCGGAATGGGCGCTTATAGAGAGAAGTCTGGGGGATAAAGTCATAAATGAAGCAGTGGCCATCAAGCTGGTTTTGTGCAAAGCTCTAGAGCTGAATTGGAGTAGGATCACGATTCACTCCCATAACTAGGAACTTTTGAGACAGATAAAGTACAAGAGACCGTCCAACAGCAGCTTAGCTACCTTGATAGATGACATACTAAACATGCAGAAGATGTTTCGCATGTGCTTGTTTTGCTTGGTTAATGAAGAAAGTATAAAAAGAAGTAAAAAATTAAGTTCTCGTGCCTTAGGCATTCTTGTGGATGAGGAAAGGAATTTCCTCGGTGCTATTGAGCACTAGATGTACAGTCTCTTTGAGCCTTTGCTCGCACTTGTAATTTTCTCGTTATAATGAATGAAATGATCCTAACGTTTCGAAAAAAACATAGAGTTAACCAAACTAATGACAGAGAGTGTGATGGGTACTGAGATGAGACAGTCAAGTAATTTGTGCAATAATGTCATCAACAACGTTGTCACGTAAAAAGGTTGAGCATATTTCTACCTTGCAAGCCTTATTTTTCTCCATTTCTTTAAGCTTTATGAACACGTTATAGACTTTGAAATCCATGTGTAATGTAATTTGAAGGACTTGTTCAAACTAGATTAATGGGCATCCATACTTCTCGTGGCATCAAGATACATTGAAATTAAATTGGAAGTACAATAATTACTATCTATCTATACGAAAGCATGCTATGTGGGGATTGGGATAGTTACGTTAACTTGAATCTTCCTTTCATACCGTGGAAATGCTAGTGAAATGTGCAATTAATGTTGCCATGAATACACAAGAATGAGGCTATTAATCTTATTTTGGACCCTTACACTATAAACACAATCCTAGCTATTTTGGTCCTTAAATTTAAATTTTATATACTTTACTTCCTTTAAGTATGAAATTTATCCACTTTAATTCGTAAACTTCATTTTTAGACACTGTATCCCCTCAAATATCAACTCCTTTCCATAGAATTGTCAAAACTAATGAAACAGTAGGTAAGTGATGCTCAAAATTCAAGAACTAAAATGTAAAGGAGTCTGCATTTTAGGGGGGGGGGGGGAACTATCCAGAAATAAAGTTTAAGGAATAAAGTGGGATGAATTTTATACTTTAAAGCGTGAAGTGTCAAAAAATGAAGTTTAAGGTATAATAAGAAATGACATCTAAAGTTCAAGGGATCAAAACAAAATTTAACCTAAGAATTGCCTCAAAATGTATAAAAGTATTGGCTATATACAAAACTTAGGCCTGTTTTCTTACACCGATCAAATATTTTCCGTTACTTCCGGTGTTTGGTTAGAAATAATTCATGAGTTTGAGATTGAATTATATTGTTCCTCCATCCGGAGAAACATGCATCAACACATGTATAATAGTATGACTTATGTAAATAATGCCCAAATAGATGTCAAACTTTAAATGTACGTATTACTCGTTAAACCAGTATTAAAGAGCTTGAAAAGAGACCATTCTATGGCCGTGCTTGACCGGAACAAATGGACCCTCGTTGAATGTGGAAGAAAGATTAATTATTAGACTTTTCAATAGCCCAAGTAAGACTATAAGGGCATAGACTTTGTCAGTCATGACACTTGAAAAAGTACTATTATTAATTAGGAGACTTCTCTGTTTCTCTAATCCCAGGCTTTTCTGCAAGAGTAACTGGATGACACTAGTTAAATTTGTTTCTTTTTTGCAGGACTGCAGGTTGGGGTTCTATGCAATTGGAACATGAATGATTAAAAAAAAAACTGATGGTTAGATTGTTAGAATAAGTTTAATTTGAGGATGAACAATATTATTGTGGGACAACTTTCGACCGATAACAAAATTTGTTGCGTTTTATCATGTTAGTATCTTTGTACCTATATTTTTGTATCCATCCAATTAGAATACTTCAACGGTTGAAGCCCTGATTCTATTTTTTTTTTTTTCGCGTGCGTTTACTTTAACGTTGGAGAATAATAGTCATGATTATTAACCTCGTTGGTCAAATTTTGGTGGTTTGGCACTTCAATGTGAATAACAAAGAAAACAACTGAAGAAAATTGGAGAGCCAACCTAAACATGTTCTTGCTGAAGAAAAAAAAAATCCAAAACTAACCAACTAAACATGAATGCTAAGAGTACTGACCAACGGAGAACCAGAGAAGAGATTTTAGTGTTTTTTTTTTTTTGCTCTAAATTAATTTGTTTTCTCTCTAAATTTCAAAGAAAACACAAACGGAAAACCTATGACTGATGCTTTTTCTTCTATTTCTTTCTATTGTTACTTATTATTATTATTTTTTCCCTTTTGTTCTTTCTGCTTATCTCGGTAACTAGATACCAGAAAACTTCGGTAACCAAGCCAACATGCAAATATTGCTTTCGATTTTTATGAGCTGAAAGTCTTAGAGACCCTATTTGATAGCTCAATTCAACACCTAAAGTTAATGGGTTTAGACCTTAACGTGTTCAGATATGTCTGATAAAAAAAAATAGAACATGTGGATTAATTAAGTGGTATTGAATTTTTGGTAAAATTTGTTCCAAAAAATTAGTAATAAATTATTTACTTTATCACTCAATGTGATATAGATACTTAAATATGTCAAATTTAGTATTTAACAATTGAGTCACTTAAAGAATTCAAACTTCATATTTCCCAATATGACGCTCCTCAACTACACAATGAGTATGAATGAGTCCAAATCAACAAAATTACTTTAAAATGTTGGCTAAATCTAACATGAAACAACCAAAATGAAGAAAACAAACAAATTTTCTGGGCTCACTTTAGAACGAAATTTAGTTGAATTGAACTAGCATAATGGTCTAACAACATGTAGCTGAAATATCACGGTATAAGAACCCGGAACAAACCCCTTTCTCAACAATAAGAAAACAAATAAATGTAAGGAAACTAGCATGCAAAGTTACCAACAAGAAAGGATAACCAATCCAGCTTTACTCGAATTGGCCAAGGAGGACTTCTCGAAGTCTCTCTCGTGCATCAAGTTGAGGGTCCAAACCTCGCTTGGTGCATATACAAGTAAACTTGGCTCCCATTCTCTTATAAATCTAAAGGGCGCGGTACTATACTATCCACCACCAACCCCTTTCACACAACTCACTTGGGCATACTCCTTCCCACAGCATAGGAGTAGGGTAAGATAAATCTCGATGCTTAACCCGAAAAAAAATATATGAAAACAAGAAAGAGTCTTGAAGGTGTCCCAAGGGCATTTACAATGGATTACACTCTAATCCACTCTTTAGAGTGTAATTTATATGCTATATCATCACTTTATTATCTCCTCTTTCATTATATTATCACTCACTGTAGATTACACTCTACACAGCATAATAGCATTGACCTATAATCAAATCCCGTATTTATTATATTAGTTCTCAACACATATCTCGTAAATAAATAAATCTATTTTCAGAAAAGTAATTTCATTTACTTTTGAAAAAAATTATTAACTTTTTGTTGAAATTGTTGTATTCTAAAAATTTTTTATTTTATAAAAAATAATATTGTTAATTTTTGAAAACTAACAGTATATATTTTTATGGATTTCAAAAAAATACATTGTTATTTTCTAAAAATAATTAGGTAATTATTAAACAAATATCCAACACTTTAAAAAATTAGATAAGAGGTTAAAGAGAACAAATGATTCAGTAGGAGAAATGATGGAGTGGGAGAGTAAGAAATTGAGAAAACGTTAACAATATTTATAGACAAAATTTTGAGAACTGAAAGTGAAAAAAAAATTACTATTGCAAACTGGTGAAATTGAAACAATGCTACCATTATTTTACCATTGCAAACATGTTGGAAAATTGGATTCAAGGGACCGTTGCAAAAGTTTTGAATAATTCGATAAAATGAAACTTTTGCAAAGCTTTGAATAATTGGACAAATGAGACCCACTCTTTCAGCTTTTTTTTGCTTCAATTATGCATGTAGTGACTGTTATGCGTGTAATAGGCATTATATTCTTACTATGGGAGAGTTTACAATGCATGGCTCACTCATGCATTACGAACTTCAACAATTTCCGTATCGGTTTCAAATTTTCAAAACTTGTAGCTTTCTAAAGAGAATCATCCAACTTCCTCTTTACAACCCTTCAATCATTATTTAAAGAGGATGCTTGCAACTCAGCTCGATTGACATCTGATTAAGAGGAGTTAGTAGCGCACCCACGAACACATCACCAAGGCGTTACATTCCTCAGGTAATTCTAAATTTTTTTTTTTGTTTAACATTACCTAACTCATGAACTTCCCTTGCCCAACTTGGTCGGCAAATCTACTTGCTCCCACTTTGAATTCCTGAATACGTGTGATAATTATCGTGTTTGTGGGACAAAAATCCTCAAACCGGTCTTTGTCCGTATCTCTGAGTTGCTGAAAATTGCATGCTTTCTTCACGTCCTTTTGCTACTAGCCAAATTAGCTCAATGCATATGTGACACATATAATTGTATTAAATTAAAGCACACGCCAATTCCCACTTCACTGAATGTGTCAATCCAACAAATTCATGTAGCATAGTCATGTGACTTTGTAGCAACTAGAAATCCAGAAAGACTTCAATGATTAACGTGTGCCCTCTTCGCATGACGAAATCGGTGAATTTTGCTTGACTTGGATTTAATTGATCCATTTTGTTGACCATCTGCATTGTCTTCACCACAGTGATTAAGTAATACCACACTTGATATTGGAGACGAATATAGCCCACCAGAAGAGCTTCTCCCACCAATGCATGCGACACGTCACTTTTTTCTTTTTGTTCTTGAATTTTCTTTTTTACAAAACAACGATCACCCAAAAAGAAAAAAAGAAAAAAAAATTTCTTTTCTTGGATTGCACCTTGTGTTGGCATCTGTTATTCAAGGCAAATTGATACTCTTTCCCTCTTTTT